TCCCATGGTATTGAAAGGTTCCCTACACCAAAGCCTCCGATTAGCAAACCACAAATAATAAAGCTCCTAAAAGAAGCGAAATCGCCTAAGATGCAAATGAAATCTCTCAAGAGACTTAGATCCATTGCTTCTGAGAATGATGCTAACAAACGTTGCATGGAATCCGCGGGGGCGAATGGAGTTCTTAGCTTCTATTATTAATAAAAATGTAAATGAAGTGTTTGAAGACGAAGAGGGTTTCATGAGTATTAAAGACGAAGCACTTAGCATCCTCTATCAACTCAAATTATCTGAAAATGGATTGAAATCACTCATCTCGATTGGAAATGGAGAATTTATTGAGTCATTGACACGTGTCATGCAACATGGGAGCTATGAGTCTAGGGCTTACGCGGTTATGCTAATGAAAAACATGTTCGAGGTATCAACACCAACTCCACTTTTGAGTTTGAAGAAAGAATTCTTCATACAAGTTGTTCAAGTCTTGAAGGATGAGATCTCTCAAAAGGCCAAGAAAGCATCATTGCAAGTGCTAGTGAACGTGTGTCCATTTGGGAGGAACAGAGTGAAAGCAGCAGAAGTAGGAACAATTAGGGTTTTGGTTGATCTTCTGCTCGATTCATATGAGAAAAGGGTTTGCGAATTGATGCTAATCTTATTAGATCAACTTTGTCAGAGCGCAGAAGGAAGAGCTGAGCTATTGAATCATCCCGGAGGATTAGCCATTGTGTCCAAGAAAATACTTAGGGTTTCGAAAGTTGGGAGTGAAAGGGCAATCAAGATCTTACATTCAATCTCAAAGTTTTCATCAACACCAAGTGTTGTTCAAGAGATGTTGAGTTTGGGTGTGGTGGCAAAGCTTTGTTTGGTTCTTCAAGTTGATTGTGGAAGTAAAGCTAAGGAAAGAGCTAGAGAAATTCTCAAATTTCATGCAAAGGCATGGAGGAATTCTCCTTGTATACCTAATTATTTGTTATCTTCATATCCATTTTAGGAGTTAGGATGAAAAAGAGCAAAAATTGCCAAAGGTAGAAATAATAATTGGCTTTTGTGCACATAATTAATTCTTTTGAGAAAATAGAAGGAAAAAAAAAGGGACAAAATTGTCCATATTCCATATTCAACAATGTAATTCAATTAAAGTGTTTGAGAGTTTGAAATTTACTGACAAATTTAAGAAACTATCAATATATTATTTGTAAACATATCCTCTAAAATCTCCCTTATTTGACAAAATTACAAAAAAACCATACTCTCTTCTATTTTCTATACATATACATCACTTTACGCACGACGTATCAATTTGATACATCCCTTTACGCGATGTATTGAGTCTGATACACCATTTTACGCGATGTATCGGAACGTAGGTGATGTATTGAGACGTTCGAGACATAATGTGTACAAACCCGTTGAGTCATGAGTGATATATCGAGACGTTTTGAAATGTCTCCAGATTTCACCAAATTCAAAAAATTATTATAATTTTTTTTAAAATAGGAATAAAATATAATTATCTCTTTAACAACTACGTGATTGATATAAAATTTCCATATTTAATTTTGTATTCCTAATCGACCACCCATAATCCCATATACCTACATGCATGAAAGGTAGGTTTCCATTATTTTTATATTATATAGTTTTTTCATTTTCCTAGCAGCTAGCCATATATGACTGGATCCAGCCATGACATATTAAAAATTAGTAGTACTATTTATTCTATTTTATCAAGTAATACATACTTTTTATATACGGAATCAAGATTTTAATTTTATGCATTCTGAATCTTAATATAATTGAGTTCTAGTTATATCTATAGATATTTAATAAATCATTCATCACCAAATATGTTTGAACAAAAGTTACCATTTTCGACCTAGTATTTATTCAGACTTCTAGCTCTGATGATATTTATCAAGAAAGTATATGAATACGAATATATTATTAAGAGAAGTATTGAAAACACTTTTAAGTTTAGCATAAATTATCAGTTTTGTTTCTAAATTATTGACGGCCTTCAAAAATATTCATCTACTTGACTAACTAAATAAACTTTCGATTTGCCACATGACATAGCAAGTAGTCTCAAACTCTTGTAGAAACATGAGACTCCTAATAAAAAGTCGAGAGAAGTGTTGAAACGCTCCTAAACTTAACGAAAATTTTATGGATGTATTTCACTCATATTTTATATTATTTTATATACATTAATAATATTTTTTATTAATATTATAATATTAATTATTATTAATTTTTTTATTATTATTAATTTATTTTTGGTTGTTGTTTTCCAACTAGCAAAGAAAACTGGCATTAGCTGGATATAATAAAGAGACTGGACCTCAATTCATTTAATTCAATTAATTAATGAGACAAAGTCTCCTTTTTTGCTTTATTTAATATATATAGACGCAATTGTGGAATAGAATTTGACAAGTCTCTCTAAAAATAATTTTTTTTAAAAAAAATTAATTCATTATATTTTAGCCACATTTGTGAAGTCTATTTTTCTTACTAAGAAGATTCGTAAAATTTAATTTAGAGAAAGAAAAAAAATATTTGTGTTGACGTAAAAAAAACTTTTTTGTTATTATACTTTTCTTTTATTGTCTTCATTTGTTTTGGATCGACTTATTTATGATGTGAGCTATATATATATAGACATTTAAAACTCAAAAATACATTTTCAAATCCTTTATAATATATCAAAAGGAAAACAAACAATTTAGAGCTTTAATAAGATCTCCCACTTGCTTTATTTATTACTCCCTTCGTCTTGTATTATTTATCATAATTTTTAATTTTAGAGTCAAACTATAAAAATTTTAACTAACATGTATTTTTTTATTATAGTAATATGTAAAAAAAATTGTAATTTATAGTAATTTTCATACAGTTTTAGAATATCTAATTTTTTTAAAAAAATATCGAATTAATATGATTCAATTTACTTTTGAAAATTAGTCAAATTAACTTTCGATAAGCGTAATATAACAAATAATTTCGAACAGAGGGAGTATGAATATAAGCCAAGACTATAACTTTTTGACTCCATATACTGATTCTTTATTAATGATATATATGTTGATTTTTTTTATTACGTGTTATTAGGAATTTGAACTAAGAAAAAAGTGAAGTAATACCTAAGTCAATTCTTATGTGCTCATTCAAAACTTGGCACTTTACTATTTATTTTTTTAAAAAAAAATATAAAAAAATAAATGGATCATAAAATACATTGTGCAAATTTTAAATGTATTTATTGATAATCAAGTATAGTGGTCTTTATGTATTCTCTTCTAATCATAGAAAATGTCAAGATGTATAAATTAAAGTTTAACCAATAAAAAGACTTTTTATTGTTTAATTATGAAATTTTGTTTATCGCGAATTACTCGTCAGAGTGTGATTAAGTCCAAAAATAAGCCAAAATGGTCCAAGTTTAGATAATCACATAATATGTACTCCATCCAAGGGTCAAATTTATCAAATAAAAAGACTTTTTATTGTTTAATTATGAAATTTTGTTCATCGCTAATTACTCGTCGGAGTGTGATTAAGTCCAAAAATAAGCCAAAATGGTCCAAGTTTAGATAATCACATAGTATATATTCCATCCAAGGGTCAAATTTATCAAATAATGATGGCTTTAATATATTTGATTAGAGAAGTCAATTAAGTTCATATACAAACATATATGTGGCTAATATTTGAAGTCGAATAAATTGCATTCACGCTATAACTATTTTTTCTCGTTCGTTGTTCAATATCTATATTAGATTTTAATTAAATTTAAATTTGTGCCAAATATTTTGACATTGGGGAAGCGGCATAGTCATATGGTGGTTAGGGTGTTCAAATCGTCAGAAAAAATATTATATATACAAGTAAAATGATACATAAAATGATTAAATAATATACTTTGGACACACTTAACACAACAAGATATTATAGCGTAGTTCAAATTTATCTAATAGACCTTTATATTAAATTTATTTTAATAAATTGAGAGAAATTTATTCCATCTTAAACTAAATCTATTAGAGTTACATTAATCTTTATGACTGCATTATTAGACATAATTCGCTTTCATATATACTATTATTACGTATACTAAATATTACGTATTTTATCACTAATTAAGAGTTTTCTAATATATATTGAGAAAAATATACTTAGATACACGTATTTTTGCTACCAAATACACTGAAATAGTGTGAGAGGCGAGCAAGATGGGGAGGGAGGTGAGCGAGATTTGTTTTGCTACCATATACACGCGAATCACACCAGATACATATATATGTATGTGTTTGGTTTGATTTGCATGTATCTGGGATATCATATACATAGAAAAGTGGCGAGCGAGATGGGAGAGAGGCGATCAATATTTTGTTGTGTTCTCAGATTCATGTGAATCCACCTGGATACAATGTAGTTGGAACAAATTTGGCCTCACATATCTTTATATTTTACGTATCTGAACGTACTTGGATGCACCAAAATATGATAATATTAAGATACGTAATACTACAAACTTAAACTTAAGTGTATCTAAGCAATTAGCTCCTAAACCGGTGAGATTTATGTAAGTTCGTTTATATTAAAATTCTTAATTCCTTCTATGTCATTAAAAGAAATGACAAAATAAATAAATAGAAAACATTATTATAGACATCAAGAAAGAGCCTCAAATATGAGATGCCAAGGAAGACTAATAAATAATGGAAAATCACTTTCCATGTGAAGCTATGAATATAATATAGGTGGTTAGTTAGGAATTTAAATACGTGAATAAATATATTCATGTAAATTACCTACTTTTTTTTTAATATATATATAAAATAACTCTAAAGAACATAAAATTAAATATCTTCTTTTAATTTCTTATATTGGCCATTTTTTATTTCTCATATTTCCCTTCTTTCTTTCTTTTCTTTTTTTTGATAGAAAACACTTTCTTGATGAATATAAATGAATCAAAAAGTTGAAGATGGATATATGTATGAACAATTAAATTCATGGACAATTTTGTCCTTTTTTTTCTACTTTTTTAATAATTATAAATTATGTACAAATAAATAAATTCACTACTTTTGTTCTTTTTCCTTTGTTCTATTTCTACCTAAACATTTTTTGCTCTTTTTCATCCTAATTCCTAAAATGGATATGAAGACAACAAATTATTAGGTATACAAGGAGAATTCCTCCATGTCTTTGCATGAATTTTGAGAATTTCTCTAGCTCTTTCCTTAGCTTTACTTCCACAATCAACTTGAAGAACCAAACAAAGCTTTGCTACCACACCCAAACTCAACATCTCTTGAACAACACTTGGTGTTGATGAAAACTTTGAGATTGAATGCAAGATCTTGATTGCCCTTTCACTCCCAACTTTCGAAACCCTAAGTATTTTCTTGGACACAATAGCTAACCCTCCGGGGTGATTCAATAGCTCAGCTCTCCCTTCTGCGCTCTGACAAATTTGATCTAACAAAATTAACATCAATTCACAAACCCTCTTCTCAGATGAATCAAGCAGAAGATCAATCAAAACCCTAATTGCTCCTGCTTCTGCTACTTTCACTCTATTCCTCCCAAATGGACACGCATGCACTAGCACTTGCAATGATGCTTTCATAGCCTTTTGAGAGATCTCATCCCTCAAGACTTGAACAACTTGTGTGAAGAATTCTTTCTTCAAACTCAAAAGTAGAGTTGGTGTGGATACCTCGAACATGTCTTTCATTAACATAACCGTGTAAGCCCTAAATTCATAGCTTCCATGTTGCATGACACGTGTCAATGACTCGATAAATTCTCCATTTCCACTCAAGATGAGTGACCTCAATCCATTTTCAGATAATTTGAGTTGATAGAGGATGCTAAGTGCTTCGTCTTTAATACTCATGATACCCTCTTCTTCTTCAAACACTTCACTCGAATTTTTATTAATAATAGAAGCTAAGAACTCCATTGCCCCCGCGGATTCCATGCAACGTTTGTTAGCATCATTCTTAGAAGCTATGGATCTAAGTCTCTTGAGAGATTTCATTTGCAATTTAGGCGATTTCGCTTCTTTTAGAAGCTTTATTATTTGTGGTTTGCTAACCGGGGGTTTTGGTGTAGGGAACCTTTCAATACCATGTGACTCATTAAGAGTACACCACGATTGGATAAATCGTCGAAGAGTAACATTTGGGGTCAGCTCTATGCATGTAAGAGCTTGTTTCGTAGCCGGACAAGTGTTGTTCTTTGCAGAAAATATCCATTTCTCGATGTTTTCCCGATCATATGTTATCCCAGTTGAGATCGTGACAGGATCTTTCATCATTTCCAATGAAATCGGACAAATAAAATAAGGAGGTATTTGAATTTCTTCCATTTGTATATTTTTGGAAAACTTCAAGATTAATCAAAGAAGGAGATCAATCTTATAGGAAATTTTGCAAATATGACAAAAAAAATTAGAGGAATCTTTGATTTGTTGAGACTTTAGATGAGTAGTGAATTGGTTTGAAAAATTAGAGTATTTGGTTGTGGTATATATATGAGTTGGAGATTTGAGTTTTTCAAAGTCAAAACACGCCAATAGGCAATAGCAGAAGACTTTTCAAAGGGTATTTATTAAAAAAACTTTAATCAAATGTGTAGCCATCTAAACTAACTTGGTTAATTATTTTTTGAAACTCTAAATTTATCAATTACTAATTTATGTAATAAAATAAAATATTAATTTTTAATATAGCGAATAAATAAATTAAAACAGAGAAAATATTAATAACTTAAAATGAGTAGGTCTATTATGTGTATTTTCGGTGGCCTAAATGTGTGTACATAAAGAGAGAAAAAAACAGCTTTGACTTTCTCTCTCTAGAAGTAATAAAAACACATGAATGTACCATTTTTATTTATTAGTGAGAGAAAGGAACAGTTGACATTTATGTGATATTTTAAATAAATAATTAGCTCAAATAAATTTAGAGTTATAGCTATATATCTAACACTCACCTTGTATTTTTAATTAATTCAACCTTTTAATTTATCTAGTTTAATATTGCTTGTAATATTATGTCACATATTTGCTTGTCTATTCAAGTTAATCTAAGACTATGTATCAATTCAACAAGGTCAATTAATACAATTGTAATAGTTTAAGAGTATATTATTTTGTTTAACGCGCGTTATCAAAATTTGGATTTCGAATACATGAATATGACATATTAAGTGTAATTTATTGTAAATACATGGTATTTTAGTGAGTTTTCATATATCGATGGTCTCTCTGGTTTCTCTTCTATCTCGCTCCCTCTCACCCTATCTCTCTAACCTCTCTCCGCATGCATTTGTATTTCAGAATGTATTTGGATATCCTAGATATACTGTATCCAAGTGGATTAACATATATCGTCTCACTCCCTTGACTCTCTTCTATAACGCTCCCTCTCTCCTATCTCACTTGTCTCTTTTCCTCTCTCGCTAGCCTCTATTAATTTGTATTTCAGTATGTATCTGGAATATATGTAGGTATCCTAGGTACATGTATATTGTGAATCGTATGTATATAAGATACATAGATTATCTCGCTCGCTTCCCTCTTTCTCTCGCTCTCGCCTCCCTCTTTCTCTCACTCGCCTCTTTGATTATTTCAGTGTATCTAGTAGAAACTAAAAATACACGTATCTAATATGAAATTATTAGTTAGTTAGACAATACACAATTATTTCAAACTATAAGAAGAATTAGTAAATTTAATTAAAATATTTATATACTTAGATAGTTTTGCAATAGAATAAATATTAACAAGAACACGTTCAAATTTTATGTAAAATAATTAAGATATGTATATCAGATACATCGCTTTAACTTGGTCTCTGGTGTTATCTATGCACTTAAAGTTTTGGATGTACACAAGTAGACACTTAAATCTATATAAAACTGAATAAATAGACACACATATTTTACCGATATTTTATATCAGATACACTCAAACTAACTTGTATTATGCTACGTATCAATTAAAAAAAAAAACCACCACTCTATTAGAGATTACTTATAAGACTGACACATTCTTTTATATTATTCTTTGAAATTTCTGAAAAATTCAAAATCATCATATTAGTGGCTTAGATATAAAGTTCAACAATCTTCAAAGTTCACATAATTATCAATATTTATTTCCTTCATTGGGACTAGTTGCACTCATATCACTATCACAAAACTTTTATAACTTCTAGTAAAGTTCAAAAAAATTAATTTGAGCTGATTATTTTGAATGTTAATCTAGTTTTTTTAGATATAGTGAAAAGTCTAATACCTGGTTCTCACCAAAGAGTGTGCAAAAAGACACAGAATGCTAGTTTTTGACTATATGCATGTATATAGTATATTAGTATTCACAATATTTACTATTAATGGTAGTTTCGTCAAGTTCTGGAATAATACTAAAAGTATCTTTATGTAATTTATAGTTTACAAGTAGTAATATGAAATTTTTACGAATGATTGTATTTATATTTAAAAATAGACGGTCTATATTACACAGATGTTCTTTTATCGGACTTTACGCGAATGTGGGATGCAATAGACTTCTTAGTGAAATCATATATATCAAAAATTTCTTCTCTATACTTGCTATTGGAGATGCAAAAATAAGAGGGGAATCAAAAAGTTGAATATATGGATATGAACAATTAAATTTCATGGACTTATTTTGTCCATTTTTTTTTCTATTTTCTCAAAAGAATAAATTATGTACACAAAGATAATCCACTACAAAACAATTTTTTACATTTTTTTTTTATCCTAATTCCTACAATGGGTATGAAGATAATAAATTATTAGATATACAAGGAGAATTCCTCCATGCCTTTGCATGAAATTTGAGAATTTCTCTAGCTCTTTCCTTAGCTTTACTTCCACAATCAACTTGAAGAACCAAACAAAGCTTTGTTACCACACCCAAACTCAACATCTCTTGAACAACACTTGGTGTTGATGAAAACTTTGAGATTGAATGTAAGATCTTGATTGCCCTTTCACTCCCTACTTTAGAAACCCTAAGTATTTTCTTGGACACAATGGCTAATCCTCCGGGATGATTCAATAGCTCAGCTCTCCCTTCTGCGCTCTGACAAAGTTGATCTAGTAAAATTAACATCAATTCACAAACCCTCTTCTCAGATGAATCGAGCAGAAGATCAACCAAAACCCTAACTGCTCCTGCTTCTGCTGCTTTCACTCTGTTCCTCCCAAATGGACACGCGTTCACTAGCACTTGCAATGATGCTTTCATGGCCTTTTGAGAGATCTCATCCCTCAAGACTTGAACAACTTGTATGAAGAATTCTTTCTTCAAACTCAAAAGTGGAGTTGGTGTGGATACTTCGAACATGTCTTTCATTAGCATAATCGCGTAAGCCCTAGACTCATAGCTCCCATGTTGCATGACACGTGTCAATGACTCGATGAATCCACCATTTCCACTCATGATGAGTGACCTCAATCCATTTTCAGATAATTTGAGTTGATAGAGGATGCTAAGTGCTTCGTCTTTAATACTCATGAAACCCTCTTCTTCTTCAAAAACTTCATTTGAATTATTATTAATAATAGAAGCTAAGAACTCCATTGCCCCCGCGGATTCCATGCAACGTTTGTTAGCATCATTCTCAAAAGCAATGGATCTAAGGGTCTTGAGAGATTTCATTTGCATCTTAGGCGATTTCGCTTCTTTTAGGAGCTTTATTATTTGTGGTTTGCTAATCGGAGGCTTTGGTGTAGGGAACCTTTCAATACCATGGGAGGCATTGATAGTACACCATGATTGGATCAATCGTCGAAGAGTAACATTTGGGGTCAACTCTATGCCCGTAATAAGAGATTGTTTCGTAACTGGACATGTATTGTTCTTAGCAGAAAATATCCATTTTTCGATATTTTCACGATCATACGTTATTCCAGTTGAGATCGTGACAGGATCTTTCATAATCTCTAGTGAAATTGGACAAATAAAATAAGGAGGTATTTGAATTTCTTCCATTTGTATTTTTTTTGGGGGGGGGGGGGGGGGGAGTTACAAATATGAAGATTTGTTGAGACTTTAGATGAGTATTTTGGTTTTGGAAATTAGAGGATTTGGTTGTGGTTTATATATACTAAATAGTTGGAGAATAGTAAGAAATATTCAAAAGTCAAAAACACGGCAAAATATGAAATTTATTATTAAAAAAAAAGATGGAATAAAAACTTTATAATAACTTTACCAAGTCTATCTATTAATATGTGTATTTTTTGTGGCCTAAATGTGTGTACATATGGAAAAAAATAGTACACTTTTGACTTTCTCTCTCTAAAAGTATTTAAATCACATGTTCAATTTTCTTCTCTTTCTAACTCGTGTTTTTAATTATATATATATATATATATATATAGGGGTGGGTGGGGTGGGGGGTTGATTTTCTTAATATTTCTTTGGTTGTTCAAGTTGCTTTTGACTCAACCAATTGTTTTGCTTGGCTTTTTTAAGTACATTGAACATGAATGAGTGTTTTTCGAGTTTGAGTTATATATATTGTCAGTTTAATAATCGAGGGTTTTATATTTTATATTTAGATAATTTAAATAATACTAATAAGTTAGTTTAAATAATCGGTAATTTAAAAAATTTAAATTTTTCTTTTTTGAAAGTTGTTTTATCAAAGTTTATATTAGCATGTTGATATTAAAAATCGCGCTCGATCCTTATCTTACTCATTCACTCAACAACATAAATTAACTTATTTAATAGGAAAAAATTAATTGTTCAAGTTCAGATAACCAGATTAATATTCATTCCTTTTTCATCTTATACGAGACTCTTCTGCATTCTACCTAACACTTAAAATAAGATATATAATTTGATGTATGAACAATTTAATATAGGGCTCACTAACGATAAATAATAGTAATTAAGATGGATTCTAAATCACGAGGACTCTAATACCTATATAATCAGTATAATTTATGTATATCGATTATGAACAATTTAATATAGGGCTTACTAACGATAAATAATAGTAATTAAGATGGATTCTAAATCACGAGGACTCTAATACCTATATAATCAGTATAATTTACGTATATCGATTAGAAATAGTAAAAGTAAACGATAAATTTAATTGTTTTAGTCAAGACCTACTTCTAATTATACTGAAATTTAAAATTATTTGCATGTGGGAATATAGTTGAACAATTAATATATTATGATCTACTTAGTGGCTTGACTTTTTGTCACCGTCATTTACAAATTGTTTGGTCTTACCAAATTAAGTTGAACTAAATTTTCAAATAGATTAAATCTTCCCTATTTTTGGAATATAGGTACAATATATAGATATAGTTGGTTATATTTTTCATTTTTAAAAAAATCTTGTCTATTTGAATTGAATTTTCGCGTTTTGCACAAATTTTAAAGAAGAATATTCGTTTATCAGATATTTTTTTTATAAAAGTAAAAGAATTATATACATTCTTTCACGATCTTTTAACTGTAATTGATTCTCTTTTGTTGGCTATTATATTTAATTCTCTTTCTTTTGGATTTTGTAAAAAAAAATTCCTTTCAAGTAACTTTATTATTATTTGCCTTTTTATGGTTATTTACCATTTTTGATGTAATTAACTTTTATGAAATTGTACTTGCAAAATTAATAATAATAATCCATTGTTTTGTCAAGAATATGATTGTTGTCTAGGAGAGTTTTCTTGGATCATGAAATATTTCTTGGATCATGTGTTGCCTTTCAAATCATAAATATTTTAAAAATATATGCATTAATTACTATGAAATAAATTTAAATCAAATAAAAATAATTTAACTTTAATTTTGTTTTAATTATTTGCCTAAAATAACAATTATCAGTCTAATATTCAGTCATTATACCCTGTGGTTAGCTTAATAATATGAAATTAAAAAAAAAACTGTCATAGTCAAAGATATTTTTGGAACTTTGCGAGTATATCACCAATTTAAAAGGAATGAAAAGAAATAGAAGTTAGAGTTCGAGATTTATTGAACTTAATCAGATCTTCGATATATAGGGTTGGAACAATATTACATCGTTTTAAAAAGAAATGTCCCATCACACATCATAGTAGATATATATGATGAGAGATCGATAGATATTTCGAGATAGAAAATAATATGTTATATAAAAAAACCAAGTAGCTTATTGAAAGTGGAAAGTATACTTTTTGTATGTGTTCTCTTTAATTTCCTTTTTTCTTTTTTTTGTTTTAACTACATGTTCAATCAATCACTGTTATATAAAATAAATATAATGGATTAATATATCATACATTAAAAAAAAAGCATGCAAAAAAACTAAGTGAAAAAGGTAGGTTAAAAAATACATTCCAAATGTGAAAATCACCCAAAAAAAAATGCAACATTTATAAACTCTTATGTATATTGAAGTGTTTGTTTCACCAATATATTACAAATTCAGTAAGTATTATATATTATTATTCAGAAAAATATTTTCACCTTTTCTGTACAAATGCACTATATTATACATCCAAAATGTGAAAATTGCATAAAAATAAAGTAATATATGAACCTTATGATATTTGATTTCAAGGCCTAAAAATATTTCCAAAATTGGACAAGTTGAAAAGGCTCTCATCATTTGCAATATTCGCGCTATGATCATGACTCAGATCTTCTTTTGCTAATTCTGGCTCTGGCTCTGATCGTTCGGATGATAAATTATGACTTGCACTTAGAATATCATTAGGAAATACCATATCATGATGACCATGTGAATTATTAGACCATATTATATCTTCACAAGGCAATGGAGGTAGCTCCATAAAATTGTTACCTAATTGATCATGGTTGATAATATTATTGACATCCACATTATTCATATTTGTATAGTGATCATCATGAACATCACTATGATTCATAATATCTTGCTTCTCATCATGAATCCCACTAAAATAAACACCATCACCAATAAATCGCGATTCTTGACCTAAATTGCTAGTCATGAACTCCATGTGATCTATCATCGATGAAAACTCAAATGATGGAGCGACTAGTACTCCTTCTTGATTAGGCAATAATAAATCATCAGATAGTTCAAGATTCTGATGATTCTCCGATTGTGATGGCTTGGAATTACCACTACTATTCAAGAAATTTGAATAGACTAAAGCAAGATCAATAGTTGGACCATGATGATGATCCAATGAACTAGTACTATTGGATTGATTATGATGATCAATATTAGTATGATTTAAAGAAACCCCATGTCCCAAATTTCTTGAAATAAGACCATGTTGATGAATTGTACTAGAAGAAGACTTACCTCTTCTACTTTTTCTGCATCCACCACCAATTGGAACATTCCTTAAAGAACCACCTTTAGTCCAATACCTTCTACAACCTTTGCAAAAATACCTAGGTTGTGTCAAACTATAGTTGTTGTAGTAACAAAATTTTGTGTTTGTTGAACCACAACGTGGACATGTTGGTACTAACTCAACATTTGATTTCCATATCCCTCTTTCCATCTAATGTTAACACAAAGATTGTTGTTGTTGTTGTTGTGCTTCTTGAATCAAGAACTTGTCCTTTTGAATATTAACATACATCTCCCTTTGAAGCTACAAGCAAGTGAAGTTAAAAATCTTGACCATATGACTATATTCTCTTGAAATATATATATATACATACACTCTAACTCTAACCTTTTCAATGATGTAGTTCGACTCGGCTCAAAGTTCGAGAAACGAATTAATAAGGACTTTTGAAACTTCTAATCTTAAACAAATCCTGGTAATTTATAGTTGTGTGGTTTAAGATTTTTCTAAACTTGTTGTATTAAATATGTCAAAACATAGAAGCTTCTCGTTAAGGGTAAAACAAGAAATTCTCGTTAAGGGTAAAACAAGAAATTTTAATACAAATAGAGTCAGAATTTAAATTTTACATCTACGTTTGGTGGTTAGAAAATTGCTTAGAGATTACATTATTTAGATTTTGCTTCTAGTTTTGAACAAATTATTGTATTATATTTTAATAAATTATATATTGTTGATAAGCATTGGAGAGAGGAATATTGTACATGATCCAAGAAGCCCATGATCCAAGACAAAAGTACCCAATTTTAGGTTTAATTTTTTAATTAGGTTTAATGACATTCCTAATTTCTCATCACACGAGTGCACAAGTGTATATACTTACTTCTTAATCTTCACAATTATAAATAATTTTATTATTGTCGCTCGTACTCTTTAAAAATATATATATATAAATATATATTAAAAATAATATATGTTGTTTATCACTTTTCTCTGTTTATATCATTAGTGATATATAATATTATTCTCGTAATTTTTTGTCCTACAATTTTGATTACTATATGTTGTTTCTTATATTTTGATTATCACATTATTTGATATTGTTAATATTTATCCTTGTTTCATATGTTATGTAGTGTTTTTCCTATTATTTGGTATGTTTATAACTTCTATTATTGTCCTATGCGTTATTTGACCTGAGGTTTTTTTTTCGAGAACAATTTCTCTCTCTTCATGAGTTAAAAGTAAAATTAGTATCTTTAACCTAAAAAATTACACCCAATGTATTATTATTATCGATACTTTATTATTATATTATCAATTTTGTGCTTTTTTTACCACTTTACCAATGGCTCAAATAATATAACTCCATTTTCCATAATAGTATTTCAAAATTTTCTTATTTTAGAATCGTTAGTCTAAAAGTATAAAATTAAATAAACATTAATCAATGTAAACTTAGAAATTCTATTATTTGTGATATTTCAGTAGCCGTATGATGTGAAAATCTCATGTATAATTATAGCGATATGATCATCAATTCAATTATATTATCTAAAGAAGCGGAATTAATGTTAATTAATAGACGTGCATCAGATCACATTTCTTTTTTTATACTCTGAATATTCATAAAATTAACTAAGACGAAATTAAGATTTAAAGTTTGTAATTTTAAATTCGTCATTGAACACATAGCTCATTTTAGTTATTGATTTGCTATTACATATATATATATATATATATATATATATATACACACACACATACTCAATTATACAAATACGAGATTTATGCAAAAATTTATATATACGAAATTTATCTGAACTCGTATCTAATATTGTTGTTTCACATCGACACACACCTCTATGAATATAATTTTCGAAGTCATTAAAAAATAAAAAGAGAAGTTTGAGTTAGGGGATAATTACAATTAGATGTTCACTAATTATCCAACATGTACTTGGGCATTGATGGCAACAATTATATTAGAATATCAAATTGATGAAACATTTTATCAACATGCAGCTAGCAATTAAATTCCCAAGATATATATCTGAAAACAAATATATAAATAAATAAATAAATAAATAAATAAATATATATATATATATATATATATATATATATATATATATATATATATTCGGTGCATAAAATATTTTGTATTAGAAGAAGTCAGAAAAAGACGTCACTAAAGAGATCACGTGATATAAATAATTTATTCTAATATAAGCATTAGTGACTGTTTTAACGAGTCCGGAGCCTAAAGGGTTTCAAAATGGGATATAAAATTTTATATTAACCAAAACGGAAAAATCGCTGGAACAACAGCAATTTCCTCCGCCGGAAAAAGATTTTACAAATGCGATTTTTAAAAAAAAAATCATTTTTTTAAAAAAGAATATTTTTTGCAACAAAATCGCTTCCTAGACCGTGATTTTCTTAATAAAAAAAAATTCAACAAAGCGCTGCCTAGGCAGCGATTTTCTTGAAAAAGAATTTTTTTTAAAAAAAATCACATTTTGCAAAATCGCTGCAGTAATGATTTTACTTTTTCCGGCGGATGAAATTGTTGTTGTTCCAGCGATTTTGCCGTTTTTAGTTAATATAAAATTTTATATATTGTTTTAAAATTTTTATTAATATTTTATACCATTTAGGCTTCGAACTCCTATTTTAACGGCTCAAATTATAATATTTAAATTATACAGAAATAATTTTATTTTTACTCCAAAATTCTTTGATCAAGAACTTAATGGCGGGAAAAAAAATCCAGCTGCAAACTTATGCCTAAACATTAGGGAATTATAATTTCGTACACTTTTACCTATTCAGTTTGAAAATTTTTAAAATTATTATTATTTTATATTTATTTTATTTTTATTATTAATTATTTTTTATTTTATTATTTGTTTTTAGTATTTAAATGACTTAAAATAATTAGAAATAATATAAAAATATTATTAATTTTTCAGAATTGTGTCACATCAAAATGTGGTTAAAGAGTGTAACTAATTTTAGTTTGGTTTGCATAGAGGACCAACTATTTCAAAGTTTAGATATAGACTTTTTTTTTAATTGTTTTCTATAGTTATTTTGAGTTTGATTATTATAAATTTATTCGTAAAAATATCATTTTAGGGGATAAAACGTTCTCTATTAAAACTAATTTTGTCTTCAATACTCAAAGTCGAAATTCTCATTAAATGAAGATGGTGGTGTCAATTGCTTGAATTATAATTGCCTAATTAATAATCATGATAGGAGTATTGCAAATACACTCCGACACTCTTAATCAAAAGTCACAGATTGATCACAAAGTGAATAATAATAATAATAATAATAATAATTATATATATATATATATGAAGTCTTTCATTTAATATGTCATATACAATATCTGGACTAATTAAAATCTCAAAACAGATACTAAACACTTAGATGAGATAACAAAAGATAGAAAAATGACTAAATTTCATTTTTTTTCTGAAACTCCGTTTTAATCTTACAAATTCACATAAATTAAAACGGTGACATGTTTTTTTTAAAAAAAAAATAATTAAAAAAATTAAAAAAAATTAATTTATTTTTTTAGAACCCAAGCTTTGTGTCCCTAAAAGCTACTTGTAGTTTTCAAGGAGTTTGCTCCCTTCTCAACCAATCATGTTTCTCCACGTGTCACAAACACCCGACACCTCTTCTTCGCCGCCGGGAATGTTAAATTCTTATAATTCCGTCAACCTTAACGGCCCTTCTCCATGTGCTCTTTTGACACAATTCCCAATAAAAATAAAAAATAAATAAATAAATAAAAATATATCAATAATAATTACTCTCGATTACAATTTACGCGACACTATTTTCTTATTTATCAATTTTAAAAAAAGAAAAATTATATTTAGAAACGTAATTTATTAGCTTTAGTCTCAATTTTCAGGGGCAGAGTTAGAAGATTATGTATTGGTAGATCTATTGAACTGAATTTTGTATTAAGAAGTTTACTAAATACGTTTTTTTTTATTAAAAAAAAGTTGAAATTTAAAATCTGATTAATAACCAACACATGATGTCGCTATCCTAGAAATCAGAATAAGAAAATTCAAATAATGGCTCTATCACGTTTAGACTTCTCATTTTACCCTTAATCATGAGAAGCTTTTATATTTTATCTTAGTGTTTATAACATGTTCGATACTATAAGTTTTAAAAGTCTTATTAATCACATAACTATACGTTACGATATATTTAAGATCAGAAATTTCAAAAATTCTCAGTTTTGCCTTCAACTGTTTTTGAGTCGCGTGAGCCAGTCAAATTATATCACGTAAATTAGAAAGGGCGAATATATATACATATAGAGTCATATGGTCAAGATTTTGTAAAGGGAGATGCATGTTATTATTCAAAAGAAGCAAGTTTTTGATCAAGAAACACAACAACAACAACAATCTTTGTGTTAACATTAGATGGAAAGAGGGATATGGAAATCAAATGTTGAGTTAGTATCAACATGTCCACGTTGTGGTTCAACAAACACAAAATTTTGTTACTACAACAACTATAGTTTGACACAACCTAGGTATTTTTGCAAAGGTTGTAGAAGGTATTGGACTAAAGGTGGTTCTTTAAGGAATGTTCCAATTGGTGGTGGATGCAGAAAAAGTAGAAGAGGTAAGTCTTCTTCTAGTACAATTCATCAACATGGTCTTATTTCAAGAAATTTGGGACATGGGGTTTCTTTAAATCATACTAATATTGATCATCATAATCAATCCAATAGTACTAGTTCATTGGATCATCATCATGGTCCAACTATTGATCTTGCTTTAGTCTATTCAAATTTCTTGAATAGTAGTGGTAATTCCAAGCCATCACAATCGGAGAATCATCAGAATCTTGAACTATCTGATGATTTATTATTGCCTAATCAAGAAGGAGTACTAGTCGCTCCATCATTTGAGTTTTCATCGATGATAGATCACATGGAGTTCATGACTAGCGATTTAGGTCGAGAATCGCGATTCATTGGTGATGGTGTTTATTTTAGTGGGATTCATGATGAGAAGCAAAATATAATAAATCATAGTGATATTCACGATGATCGTTATAGAAATATGAATAATGTGAATATTATCAACCATGATCAATTAGGCAACAATTATATGGAGCTACCTCCATTGCCTAGAGATCAAGAGATGATATCGTCTAATTTACATGACCACCATGATCATATGATATTTCCAAATGATATTCTAAACACAAGTCATAAGTCGTCAGCTGGAGGACTAGAGCTAGAGCCAGAACCAAAACTAGAACCAGAACTAATGCCAGACTGTCAGAGCCAGAATTAACAGTAGAAGATTCTAATCGTGATTATAGCGCGAAT